TACGGTTTTCCCTACCCCTTCCCTTTGAGTTATAATCTTTTATTTGAATGAATGGATGCTTTCAGATTATATTACTTGTTTTCTAAGATGGTAACTTGGACAACATGATGATTTTCCAAAAAACAAGCAAACAAACACTTTTTCCAGCTTTGTTAGGAGAAAACCGTATAAAGTGGTAATAAAGTGATATTTAGTGGATACAGTGTAGATGCTTTTCCTGCCATTTCAGGATAGCTTGAGTGATTCTGTTTTCCTTGTTTGGGAAAACTCCTCGACTATTGAAAGGACTTTGTCCCATCTCAAACCCCAAAATATCTCTTATTTGCATTTGCTGTGCCTATTACCTTGACACATAGTATACTAAACAAGCCTTCCTTTCTGGTGTTTATGCATTTCAAGCACTTGCTTGTTCTACTTTGTAACTGTATATTAAGCAGATCTATATGTTCTGATTTTTAACTTTAAAATTGATATTATCCTGGGAGCCTTCTTTGCTGCTGTTCTCTGAATTTGCCTCAGCTTAGTAAGAAGATGACATTGGTGAATAACTGCTAACTAGTTTTTGTCTGGCATTCTGAAGATACCATACAGTTGCATAATATGTAGTTCCTGTGTCAGAGTGTGTAATCAGAATTACAGGAGATAAAATGAAGAAGCAGTAGCTTTGGCACTGCATATAGGAAAGGATTCATGTTGTAAAGCCGTCTTCAAGCCTGTTTTTGTAATGGCTTTGTGTTTGAAAGAAAAACAATCTAAGCAATGTTCGTGTACACTACTGCGTGTCTGCTTTGTTGTTAGGATTAAATATCTGAATGTTGAACTGTCTGTTTCCATTTAGAAGGGAACCTAGTTTGTCTGGGTGTTTTACTATCTCTCTGGTTGTATTCTTAATCTCAACTAACTTCATTATTTGTGTAAAAGCTGATTAGGTTAGCTGAGACTGTACTTAGATTATAATTAATATGTAAATATTATGAGTATTCATATAAGCATTTTAAGTAGCAGGAAAAGATGTGAAATGTTAATTTCAGTAAAATATTGAACATAACTTGATAAACTGTCATTAATGACTAGTATGTTCAGAGTTTTCAGTCCTAAGACAGTAATTGATCTTTTTTTCAAATTGAAGTTTGAAGCTTCAGCAGGTTAAAATATGCTGTCTGATTCTCATCGAAACTTTCATAATTATTCTTTATTGTTCATGACCACCGCATGGATTTTCTTTAGATTCCTTTCTAGATTTTTTTGTTAATATATTCTAATATATTATGATGAGGAGTAAATGATAAGCCTTTACAACTGTAACAAGATTGTTAATTTATTTAATTGGCTGAATTTATTTTTTGGTAGTTTTGCATCTTCATTTGAAGATTTTATAAAAGAAGTTATGTTGTAAATCGACTGTTCCTATAAAAGTGATTCATATGACCAACAAAATGAGAATTACAGACCGCTTGTGTGAAGCTCATAACAGTATTCTTTTGAATTTAATTAATTACTTATTTTCCTTTCTTATTTTTTGAAAGTTGAAGGAATCAGCTTTGCAAGAGTAATTTACAATATACTTTTCTCTGTATGTGGTTCCAGTTTGATGCTCTTACTTCTAGTCAAATGTTTTGCCGCTTCTGAAAGTTGCTGATTGAATGAACTGTACAGGGGAGCTAGTACAACTTGATTACATGGAAAATAAGAAGAGAGGGAAAAATGTATTTCTCAGTAATCATTCTTCTAGTACAAAGTATCTCCAAGATTTTTGTGTTGAGAAGTGTAAATAGGTATCACTTTTCAAATATTTGGCATCATTTTTCCCCTACCTTTTCATCTCATATGTCTATAGTTCTTTGTTGCCATCTTCTTGTGACGCTATAATTTGATAAAGGTAGTACGTGCGTTTTAATGGAATTACTTTGTGGAGTATTGAAAGCCATATTATGACCGCCACTTTGCAACTGAACAGTCTCACCAGACTTTTGACTACTATTTAATTAAACTAAAACCCTTTTAGCTCCTTAATGAAGTGGAGAAAAAAATTACCAAGAAAAACTTAAACACTTAAATGCAAGATATTAGTAAGACCTCATTTTAGCAATATTCCTTTATTACTCTTAGCTGTATAATTTTTTGTATAATTAAATGTGGTAGTCTGTGAAGAATGTTACTTGGAGAAAAATTAAGTTGGAAAGGACTGAAATTCTAGGTTGCTGCTGTTAATCCATTCCTATTTCCTTTAAACAAAGGAATCTTGAGGAGGGGAAAGGATCAGTGTTTAAAGGAGAATGTGTCTGATAATTTTTACTTGAGGCACTACTGCTCAAAAAACACTGGGTCTCGATAGTATCTGAATATTTCTAGATTTGGCAGACTAGCATTTTTTGTGGCTGCTCTGCTCCCGCCTGAAGGAATATCACATCATGTGCATGACAACCAGAGATCGGGCCCAGCCAGCACAGGTCCATGAAAGGCAGGTCCTGGCTCACGAACCTGATCTCCTTCTATGACCAGGTGGTCTGCCTAGTGGATGAAGGAAAGGCTGTGGACATGGTCTACTTACATACTTCAGTAAGGCCTTTGGCGCAGTCCCCCCACTGCCTTCTCCTGGGGAAGCTGGTAGCTCATGGCTTATGCAGATGGACTCTTCACTGTGTGAAGAACCAGCTGGATGGCCGGGCCCAGAGAGTGGTGGTGAATGGAGTTAAATCTGACTGGCGACCGGTCACGAGCAGTGGTCCCCAGGGATCTGTGTTCAGGCCAGTCCTCCTTAATATCTCTATTGACAATCTGGATGAGCGGATTTGAGGGCACCCTCAGCAAATTTGCAGATGACACCAAGCTGGGAGGAAGAGCTGATCTGATTGAGGGTAGGCAAGTTCTACACAGGGATCTGGACAGGCTGGATCGATGGGCAGAGACCAACTGTATGAGGCTCAACAAGGCCAAGCGCTGGCTCCTGTACTTGGGTCACAACAACCCGAGGCAGCGCTGCAGGCCTGGGCAGAGCGGCTGGAGAGCTGCGTGGCAGAACAGGACCTGGGGTGCTGGTCAACAGCCGGCTGAGCACGAGGCAACACTGGGCCCAGGTGGCCAAGAAGGCCAAGGGCCTCCTGGCTGGTACGAGGACCAGTGCAGCCAGCAGGACCAGGGAAGTGACCGTCCCCCTGTGCTCGGCGCTGGTGAGGCAGCACCTTGAACACTGTGTTCAGGTTTGGCCCCTCACTACAAGAAGGACATGGAGGTGCTGGCTCGTGTCCAAAGGATAATGAAACTGTTGAAGGGTCTGGAGCACGGACTTTAAGAGGAGCAGCTGAGAGAGCTGGGGTTACTTAGAGAAGAAACTCAGGGGAGACCTTATCACTCTCTGCAACTATCTGAAAGGAGGTTGTAGTGGGTGTATGATATAGCTGTAGCTAACAGACCTTTCCCTGGCTAGTGCTGATTAGGATTGCTTTCAAGATCAGGATGATGAAGCCTTGAATTTTTGTGATGTGCTCTGAAAGGATTGGGGACAGCAACTTTGAAAAGTATTTTGTAATTCCTTCAGTATTAATTCAGTCTCATTTTCTGTTCTCATCCTTGTTTCTTGGGTTCCGTAAAAGTACGTGTCTGACATAGTTTCTTGCCTTGCTATTTTGTTCTTACCAGACACTCAAAATTTAGTCCCTTTATTTCTTTTTTCTTCTTTGGTCTGCACCATGTAATTTCAACACAGTTCAGTTATCGTATATATAGTTTTCAACTTCGCTAAATTTTTGTGTTCTTTTTTGTTTTTCCCCATTAGTTTTTCACTGGAATATTGTTATTTCAGACAGTTTGAAGTAAAGAACTGTGCACAATAGATGGCATATTTTGATTTTTTTTAAATACAAAGTTATCAGAAGGCTGCAATCTGTAAATGTCTACCTGAAATTGAGGAATTCACAAAGAGACTTCTAGTTGACGTTGTTCCCTTACCCGCGTTTTCTGAGGGGCCACGTATCATGATGAGAGAGCTAGCTGAGAGTCTAAGGAAATCAGGGAAGTCAAGCCATAACACCTGGTTTCCTAGAACATATGGAGTTCGGTTACATAAAGGAGCTTCTATTACATTTCATTGTTAAGGAATCCTTCAACTTTGTCAATGTTATTTTTAATTAGCAGCTAGAACTGAAGATATTTAT